AAGGAGGTCTCCTGGCCCTCCTGCTGCACTTCCTTCTAGTTGGGATGCAGCTCTCCTGAGCTTGTAGCAGGTGATCCTTGAATATCAACCAACGGTCTTGGGCCCCTCTGCCCTCTAGGGCTGTCTCCCATGGAACCTTACTAAGCAGGTTCCTGAAGAGGCTAAAGTCTGCTCTTTTGAAGTCCAGGGCAGTGAGCTTGCTGCATGCTCTCCTCACTGTCCTGAGGATCTCAAATTTGGCCATCTCATGATCGCTGCATCCAAGGCTTGTCTGGAGCATCACATTTCCAATGAGCCCTTCCCTGTTGGTGAGTACGAGGTCAAGCATGGCACCTCTCCTTGTCGGCTCCTCTATGACTTGCAGAAGGAAGTTTTCTTCCACACAATCGAGGAACCTCCTGGATTGCTTGTGGCAGGCTGTACCGTCCTTCCAACAGATGTCAGGGTGGTTGAAGTCACCCATGAGAACAAGGGCCTGTGAGCGTGAGGCTTTTGCTATCTGCCTATAGTGTGCTTCATCCACAGGTTCTCCTTGATCAGGCGGTCTGTAACAGATCCCCACAGTAATGTCTCCCATAGCTATATTCCCTTTAACCCTGACCCCCAAACTCTCTGTTAACTGCTCACCTGTCCCCAGACAGAGTTCCATACTCTCCAGCCTATCCCTAAGATAAAGGGCAACTGCACCTCCCCGCCTGCCAGGCCTGTCTTTTCTAAAGAGCCTGTAACCTTCCATTCCAACATTCCAGTCATAGGAGCCATCCAACCATGTTTCTGTGATTCCCCTTATATCATACCCCATAGATGTGCACGCATCTCTAATTCCTCTTGTTTGTTCCCCATGCTCCCGGCATTTGTATAGAGGCATTTGAGCCGAGCTCCACATGAAGCCGGCTCATTGGCTGGAGTGGCTGGGATATCTCTACATTGCTCCAGGCATTTATTATAGATTCTGGCAACTGACTGGGAGTGTTGGGATGGAATGATGCCCCCCTCCCTCAACAGAACTAGTTTAAAGACTCCTTGACCAGTCTGGCAAGCCTCCTACCAAAACTGCTCTTTCCCTTCTTTATCATCAGACCAGCTCCACCAGCCCCCGCTAGACCTGGCCTACAAACTTGGGTCCCGTGTTCAAGACACCCAAACCCCTGACTATGACACCACCCTTTTAAGCAGTTATTAACCTGGCTAATCCTCCTGGCTTTTTTTAGGTCCTCCCCTGTATCCTGGAGAATTGACAAAAAGACTGCCTGGGCTCCAGAGCCCCCAACCACCTCCCCCAGGGCTCTGTAGTCCTTCTTTATGTTCCTCAGGCTACTACTGTCTATATCCCTAGCACCCACATGTATCACCAGGAGTGGGTAGTAGTCCGTGGGACTTACTAGAGCAGGCAGCCTCTCTTCCACATCCCTGATCCGTGCCCCCGGTAGGCAACACACCTCCCTTGAGATGGGGTCAGGCCAACAGACGAGTGCTTCTGTCCCTTTCAGTGTAGAGTCCCCTACTACTACGACCCACTGCTTTTTCCTGGCAGCACCAGTAGAGATCTTCTTTACCAGTGCATCAGCTGGCTGTTTCTGGCCCAAGTGCGTTTCCTCATTAGCCCCCTGCAGGACAGCAGAGCGGTTCTGCATGGGGACAGGGGATTTAGGGGGAAGCCCCTTGCTTTAGATTGTCCTTTTCCTTCTTTTTTTGTTGGTTTTTTTTTTTTGTCACTAATTCCCAGCTTCCTGGATTAATGGCCTCCTTCTTCATGAGCTAGAGGTGAAGCTCAAGGCCCCTGCACAGTTTGGGCCAGGAGAAAACATTCCTGCTTCCTCTCAGCTTCCCTGACATCTCGCAGTCTATTAACAGCATCCCGCAGCTCAACCCCTGCTGCAGGAGGACGTCCACCAGGGAGCACCGAGTGCAGCCTTCCCCATTGTGCACCCTCCCCTCAGGAGACCAGCGCAGGCACTCTCTACACTCCGAGCTCTGCACTGCAGCCTCCCCTCTCATCGGCTCTGTCTGGGTGCCTACGCTGCCAGCGCCGGGGCAGGCAGAGCAGAGCCCCCAGACGGGGCCCTGGTCATACGACGAGTGCTCACCATCCCGCTCGCCTGCCCACGCAAACTGCCTCGACCCGCTCCTGGTCGCTCGCGCTCCCTGGGGCAGGTTTTTACCCACTGAGGGCTGGTGCCACTGCTTCAGGCTCTGTCCCCTGTGAGTCCCTGCTGGCGTCAGCTGAGCTGCCGGCTCCCGGGCAGGTCCTGTTGAGGACTCAAGGCTCCCTCGGTGGCTCTCGCCGCTCTGAGTTGAGGCTCCTGGACGCTGATCTCCCCCCGCTCCAGTGTTGAAGGCATCCTCTCTCGAGCTACTCGCCTCACCTGGGGCTCTGTAGGTTGGCTATGGAGGGTTATGGGGCTTTATAGGTTGGTTATGGGGCTCTATAGGGTGGCTGTGGGGGTTATGGGGCTTCCTAGGGTGGATGTGGGGGTTTATTGGGCTCTATAGGGTGGCTATGGGGATTATGGGGCTGTGTAGGTTGACTATGGAGGGTTATGGGGCTCTATAGGTTGGCTCTGGGGGTTATGGGGCTCCATAGGGTGGCTGTAGGGGGTTATGGGGCTCCATTTAGTGGCTCTGGGGGGTTATGGGCCTCTATAGGGTGGCTGTGGGGGGTTATGGGGTTTTATAGGGTGGCTGTGGGGGGTTATGGGGTTTTATAGGGTGGCTGTGGGGGGTTATTGGGCTCTATAGGGTGGCTGTGGGGGGTTATGGGGCTTTATAGGGTGGCTGTGGGGGTTATGGGGCTCTGTAGGGTGGCTATGGGGCTCTATAGAGTGGCTATGGAGGGTTATGGGGCTCTATAGGGTGGCTATGGGGGTTATGGGGCTTTATAGGTTGGCAGTGGGGATTATGGGGCTCTGTAGGGTGGCTATGGGGGTTATGGTGCTCTATAGGTAGGCTATGGGGGTTATGGGGCTTTATAGGTTGGCAGTGGGGATTATGGGGCTCTGTAGGGTGGCTATGGGGGTTATGGTGCTCTATAGGTAGGCTATGGGGGTTATGGGGCTCTATTGGTTAGTTATGGGGCTCTGTAGGGTGTCCATGGGCATTATGGGGTTCTGTAGGGTGGCTGTGGGTGGTTATGGGGCTCTCTAGTGTGTCTGTCAGGGGTTATCCGGCTTCATAGGGTGGCTGTGGGGGCTTATTGGGCTCTGTAGGGTGGCTGTGGAGGTTATGAGGCTCTGTAGGGTAGCTATGGAGGGTTATGGGGCACTCTAGGGTGGTTGTTGGGGGTTATGGGGTTCCATAGGGTGGCTATGGGGGTTATGGGGCACTCTAGGGTGGTTGTTGGGGGTTATGGGGTTCCATAGGGTGGCTATGGGGGTTATGGGGCTTCATAGGGTGGCTGTGGGGGTTTATTGGGCTCTATAGGTTGGCTGTGGGGGTTATGGTGCTCTATAGGGTGGCTATGGAGGGTTATGGACCTCTATAGGGTGGCCATGGACGTTACGGGTTTCTATAGGGTGGCTATGGGGGTTATGGGGCTCTCTAGGGTGGTTGTCGGGGGTTACGGGGCTCCATAGGGTGGCTATGGGGGTTATGGGGCTTCATAGGGTGGCTGTGGGGGTTTTGGGGGCTCTGTCGGTTGGCTGTTGGGATTATGGGGCTCTATAGGGTGGCTGTGGGGCTCTGTGGGGTTCCCATCGGTCTCTGTGGGGCTGAGGCTGCTGTGGGTCACCCCTCAGAAGAGGCCGCACTGGTTCTGGAATGGCTGCACTGGGTCCAGCCCCCTCTCACCCCCCCTATAGAGCCCCCGTAGAGACCTTACAGAGCCCCATAGAGCCCTATAGAGCTCCCTGGAGACCTATAGAGCCCCGTAGAGACTCGTAGAGCCCCATAGAGATCCTTAGAGCCCCCATAGAGACTCCATGGAGACCCTTAGGGCCCCTATAGAGACCCCATAGAGCCCCCCGAGAGACTCCATAGTGCCCCATAGACCCTTAGAGACCCCACAGAGACCCTTAGAGGCTGTATAGAGACCCCATAGGGCCCCCATAGGTACCCCATAGAGACCCATAGAGAACATAAAAGGCTGCCCCATAGGGACCCCGTCGATATCTGTAGCAACCCATGGACCCCTATAGAGACCCCATAGAGCCCCACAGAGTGCCTCATAGCCACCCCATAGCCCCCTGTGTTCAGCCTGCAGGTGCTGGTGGATGCCTAGGCCCAGATGCTGGAGCTGCAACTGGCCCCGGACCCCTTCTTTGGGGTTATGGGGATGGAGCTGCCGAGCCCCATAGCGCTGCCCCAGGTACTGCCCCATAGAGCCTGCGCCATAGCGCTGCCCAGGTACTACCCCATAGATCCTGCCGCTTAGCACTGCCCTAAGTACTGCCCCATAGCGCTGCCCCAGGTACTGCCCCATAGAGTCTGACCCATAGATCCTGCTCCAGGTACTGCCACATAGAGCCTGCCCCATAGTGCTGCCACAGGTACTGTTCCGTAGATCCTGCCCCATAAAGCCTGCCGCATAGCACTGCCACAGGTACTGCCCCATAGATCCCACTGTATAGATCCTGCCCCATCAATCCCTGCCATGTAGATCCCACCCCATAGTGCCTGCTTTAATGCCCACCCCAGCCCCACAGATTGTCCCCTTCAGCCCTAGATCTCTCTCCTTTGAGCCTCATAGATGCCCCATTGAGCCCCATAGATCTCAGTCCCACAGATCCCCCTTTTAGCCCCACAGCTTCCCCCTTCAGCCCCATAGATCCCCATTTACCCGCATCAGGTAAAGATCTGATCCTCCCACCTTGTGTATCCTGTGCACACCGTGTGTGTGCAGCCCAAGAGAGTTTGCCTGAGAACTGCCCCAGTCCTGAACCACTGCTGTGGGCAACCCAGGCAAGGAGATGGGCACAGCCCCAGACAGAGCAGGGACTGCGGAACCCCTGCCGCGCTGAATCAGTGCTGTGTGCGATGGTGACCAGGGTAAAAGGTGTGTCTGGGGGATTCAAGGGGTGGTCACAGAAGGAAACACTGCAGTGCAGACGTTTCCTGGCCCTGAGGATCAGTTCCCAAGATCTGGAGTACATCTTTGTGTGCTGTAAAATGTTACTGTATCTAAATGCAATTTGTCATTCTTGAATTGTGTGACATGGTAATGACTATGGAAATGATGAAAAGTCAGGTTTGGCACCCGTTTGATAGGTATATTCTTAATGCATACATAAGCTGAGATAAGCTCAAACAACGGCTGTCTTGCTTTAGTCCTTTGCAGGACATCTTGTTTCTATTCAGGTGGCTGCAATGAAACGAGGCTGGCTCCAATGTGCCATCAGGGTGCAGAGGCTTCCCTGGGACTCCCTCCTGCCATGCATCATTGATGTGTGATGCTAAAGCTGTTTGCATAGAGCACATGGGAACCAGACCTGAGCAAGGAAGGTCAAAGTGAAGTGAAAGCAGCAGAGCTCATCTCAAGCTTTGTTCACAGTTCTGCAACAGGAGCGTAAGTGGAAATTGGGATGGTTGTTAGGACCTTGCTCCTTTCTGATGTGAAAATTGTGCAATGAGGAATAACACTTTAAAGAATCTGGTGTTCTCTCTTGTAAGAGAAACAAATGAATCCAGGAATCCCATTCAAAGACCGTATCTCTCAGTGCATTGTTCTGCTCAGAAACATTATTGTCTGCGTTTTTGTTTTTCTTCTTTCCAGAGCTCTGTGGAGAAAGTGGTGGCTGGCTCTGTCTCCGTTCCTCAGGTGGTCCCATTTGGAATCCCTCTTCCAGGGAAGGCTAACCATGAAGGAGACACAAATGCTCTTGTAGAAATGAAATCAGGTCTGAGTAAGAGCTCTGAATCCAGGTAAAAACTTCTGTGTTCATGTGGAACATTGAGCCTCCAGACTTTGTTTGCATTTCATGATGATTTTTATGAGGGTGCATTTCATTAAGGAACTTAGAAAATTAACCACCATGTTTAAATACACCAACTCGACTTGCACTGAATTCTATGCATTCAAACAGTATTGCTGACATATGAGCTGTCTCATACATGGCAGCAGTCTCGATTGTTTTCAAGATCAAGTTCATAAGCCGTTGCATTTTGCTTTGACTGCAAAAACCAGTGTATGAAAGTACAGTATATTTGGTTAATTTCTCATCCACGTCCCCTTGTGCATCATTGGCCTTCACCCACAGCCCAGAGAGCTGGGCTTCCTCAGCCTGGAGAAGAAAAGGCTCCTTAAGGGGAGACCTCAGAGCAGCTCCCAGAGCCTAAAGGGGCTGTAGGAGACCTGGAGAAGGGCTTTGCACAAGGGCCTGTAGGGGCAGGACAAGGGGAATGGCTTGAACCTGCCAGAGGGGAGACTGAGATGAGCTCTTAGGCAGCAGTTCTTCCCTGTGAGGGTGCTGAGGCGCTGGCACAGGGTGCCCAGAGAAGCTATGGCTGCCCCATCCCTGGCAGTGTTCAAGGCCAGGTTGGACACAGGGGCTTGGAGCAAGCTGCTCCAGTGGATGGTGTCCCTGCCCATGGCAGGGGTTGGAACTGGATGAGCTTTAAGGTCCTTTCCAACACAAACCAGTCTGGGATTCTGTGACTTTGTTCAATACCTTTAGCACTGGATGTAATTCTTAAATGATGAGCAAAATGAACCATAGGTTCCTTCAAGTGCCAGATATGTTAGTAAGGCTAAGACTGGAAAAGTAAATTGTGTTTTCTTCACCAGTGTCAGGAAACCTGACCAAATTCAGGTTCCTCTTCATGCTGCAACAACAACCACAGCATCTTCAGGACCTGCGCATGCATCTTGTTCCAGTGCTAACTAGTGCGGTTAGTTAGTAACTACTGCTTGAGTCATAGCTATAGAATCATGCCTCAAACTTTGAACAGTGGCAGGTGTGGGCATATATGTAAGAGCACCATATTTGTACAGTGGTGCCTGTAACTGTCTTCTCTCTGGCTTTTTAATGTTACTGAAAACTAACTTAGTACCTTTCTGGCCTACTTCTAGTTGTCAGTAACGTCACTCTTTTCAGTTGTCTTCCTGTTTTCTCAATAGCCTTTGAGCTGTAAGGATCCGTACCAGCAGCTGTGGCTATCAGCTTCAATGTTTCTAGTGACTTTGCTGCTTCAGACTCTAACCAGGAAAATACTGAAAACCTCTTGAGAGCCTTAATGACATGATGTGATGTGGCTTTTTCCTCAGATGGCACCACGTCTTGAATGCAGACATCTGCTGCCAGTGACTACACCCGCTTGCATTGGATGGGAGTCACCAATAGCTCCACAGATGCAGCCCCAAACCAACATCTGCATAAAGGTAATTGAGAATAAATCTAACAAAAGAGCACTTTACCTCCATGCATGCATGTTTCTAACAGGTGACTTCTGTAAAAATAGTTTGATCCAGCTTGGGTTGCTCTAATTGCATTGTGAGAGCTTTAAGGGTTAGTAGGATTCAAACCACCTTGACTAGAAATAATCATTAAAGGTAAACCGTGTAAGCTGAGGAAGGCATCTTGAAGCTGAGGAAGGCATCTTGAAGAGCAAAGGAGTCAGTTGTGTGAAAGACAGGACACGTGCACTTGTGTTCAGTAGGGAGGTATTCTGTGATTCTGTCATTTACAGCCTTAATATTACTGATCATTTTAAGTTTCTTAAATACGTCCTCATTACTCTGCTTCCCTGAGTTGATTGTAAGTGCTTGGCACAGATGGGCTGGCAGGACTGGGGCAGTGGGGAGATGCCCAAAAGGCTCAAGCGCCGCATTAGTGATCCAAAAGTGCTGGTGGGCCTAACTAGACAAAATCTGCCCTTCAGAATGCTCCTTACCCAAGGGTATTGGGACCCAGGTAGAGGCTGTCCTTCACCCTTGCAGTCAGGGAAAGGGTGTGAGAAGGAGTGAACTGATACTGCATGTCCACAACTGGTAGATTATAGGCACTGCCGCAGACTGGTGTTTTCTGGCAGTCCTGATGCAGGTGCAAAGGCAGGCCTGAACTATTTGGTGGCAACCATGAAAACAGCAGACTCATGATTCTCAGCTCTGGTGGAATCTGGCTTGTGAGATACAGTGACTGTGCATGGGCACCCTCATGGGGATAAGAATCATTTTCCTTGCAGACACTGGACTTGCTGCTTTGTGTGAGTGCAGTGGCTAAGCAAACTGGCACTAGTCTGTAGAAACATCTGGAGGTATTGATGCTGCATCTGCTGAGGGAACTGTACCGTAGTTTAAAATGAATTGTCAGCAGGATCCATGGATTTGTGATGGGCAGGCACTATGGCCTAACGAACACCTGAAGCCCACGGCACAGACTTGAAGGATCTCTTCTATCTGCAGGACTGAATAAGCACAGTACTTTGTAAGATCAAGTCCTCTTCTTATTAGCGTTGTTCACAATTTGCAGATACCATGTGAAATGCATTCTTTCTCTATTTAAAAGTGCAAAGTAATTTGTCAGGCATGTGGCACAGGAAATCTTCACCATAAACACTGTGTGACTTGTGCAAGCAAGCTGCTTGAAACACAGATGCTGAGGCTTCTTCCATCAGTCACAGTAGGGTTAATCAAATCAAAGCACAACATTCTTTTTCTCTGGAAAACTGAAGTCATAGCCCTGTGTCCCTGTTATAAAAGCAGAGATGCCCTCCCTCATGGGCTATTCAAGGCCCGTACTCCCACAGATCATCCATCACAAACGTCCAGCTAAACAGAAGCTTACGTTTGAGTTTCTCCTGTGGAATTCAGGATTGTTTGTGCCATTATGAAAGCTCAGAAGGCTCTTAGAAAATGGGTAGTCTTGGCTCCAAGGGAGTTTTTTTGTGTTCAGATTATTTTCTATTGCAGTAGAAAACTTGAGTGTCTACATCAAGAAGGCAATTTTTGTGGTTTTCAATTATTTTGTGAAAATATTTTTTCATACTATTCTTTTAATCTCCATTTGCATCTCCATCTCTACGTGCATACAGCTCCTCTACTTGGATTTGGCTGTGAGCGTGTAATGGATGGGAACCTCGCTGAGAATTGATTCCCTCTCATGACTGAGAGACATAACACAGTGTGATTTTGTCACAGTGTGTTTCGCAGAGTGCATATGTATATGTTCATGGTGACTGTTTGTCAGAAAGAGGCAGGAAACCATGAGGGTGCAGCTGTTTTAAGAGCTTCCCACTTGGGCAGGCCGGCCAAGAGCCTGGCCAATGCTCTGGGTGTGGCCAACACTGAGATGATGAGAAACTGCACGGCCCCACGAGTAAACAGTGACAGCTGGCATAAAGCCCCTTGTGTTTCTAAGGGCATAAAAGCAGGAGCCTCTTGTAGCCAAATCTGAGGCCTCACCTGTGGGTGGATGGACCTTGTAGGAACTTTCCCAGTAACCTGAGACTCCCAGCATCAGCTGTAACAGGGCTTTCCAGCTGAAGTGTGGGCCTGGAGGATGGTTGGGTTCTGACTGCTGCTGTGTTTCTTCAGTCTCTGTTCTCTCTATGCAGTACTGACGTGGTGCATTGCCAGTTGTCCTCTGTACTTTACTTATATTTTTATACACAATTTGTATTATTTTACTTATTTACTATAGAGGGATATCTGCCCAGTTTGCTTTAGTGTGCTTGTTTCATCCACTGCATGATACATAGCTAGGGTGTAATCGTTTTGTTGAGTACCCTGCCTGTCAGCAGAACACTTGTGTACCCAGCAACCTCCCTGCCTCTCTTACAGACACCAGGTCCTGCTGCTTTCCACAAGGTGGAGCTGGACATCTATGGAAAAGGACCTACCATGTATGTACACGATGGAACCAAAAGCAGCCTTGGAGGAGACAAAGCAGGGAAGCCAGGGCCAGCAGACTACTGCCCAGGAAAGGTAAGGCAGCCTGCCCACATCTCCTCCTCTGCTTCGCAACTACCAGCCTTTGAGCATCCCCACCTTCTGTTGGGGCTTCTGAGAGCACACAACCACCTTAGCGCAGTGACCAGTCACAGGACAGCAGGCCTGCTCTCCTGTCTTGGCCCAAAGCTGAGCAGAGGGAGGCCAAGGAACACATTTTTGCCTCTCCACTAGCTCAGCTGTTAATTAATCTCAGCTATAAACATCATGCAGGCATGGGCTTAACTTTATTGATGTTTGCACATAGACCTGCAACAAAATAAAGTGATTGAAATTGAGTGAAGTTTCTGTCAAGTGACAGCAAAACATAAAATAAAGCAGTGTGAGGAGGGGCATCTGTAGCAAGGATGGATTTTATTGTTTAAGTGAAAATCGGATGTTATGGGCCAGTGGTGCCCTGTGGCAGCTTCTCACAGCTGCAGCTAAATGACAGCTGACACAAAGGGCTGTGAGCAGCTGTAGCCTGTTAGGAGCAAGTGGAAGTGAAGCCAGAGTTAGTGTATGTAAGGAATGGAAGGAGAGCAAAGACAACTCCTAATTCAAGGGTATTGCCAAAGGTTAATGTTGCTAATTCAGGCTGTGGCTGATGACAAAGGCCGTGGAAGCAGTCCTGGCTCAGCTGGAGGAGTTCACTGTTGATTGCTCACATGCATGGTGTGTTTGGGTCACTCCTAATGCTGTCTCTTGTAAAGCCAGTTTGCTTCAGATGTCAAAGGGAGGAATAGCAGAAATGTATGAGGACTTGAAAGGTGAACAGTGGAAGGGAGCTCAAATTATCTACCTGTGAAAAGGATGTGTCGTGGTTTAAACCCAGTCAGGTAATTCGTTCGCTCACTTCCCCCCCTTTCTTGCCCTGCCCCTGCTCTCGGAGGGACGGAGAGGAGAATCAAAAGAATGCAACTCCCACGAGTTGAGATAAGAACAGTTTAGTAACTAAGGTATAACACAGATCACTACTGCTACCACCAATGATAATAATGATAAAGGAAATAACAAGGGAACAGAATACAACACCTCACCACCCGCTGACCGATAACTCGCCCCCCAAGCCCGACCAAGCTCCGACCGATACCTCCTCCAACCCTGCAGTCTCCCAGCCCTTCCGGCTAACTCCCAGTTACATCCTGGGCATGACGTGCTGTGGTATGGAATACCTCTTTGGTCAGTTTGGGTCAGGTGTCCTGTCTCTGCTTCCTCCCAGCTTCCCCTCCTCCCTGGCAGAGCATGAGGCTCACAAAGTCCTTGGCCAAACCAAAACATCTCTATCAGCTCTGTTCCCGAGCCGAAAGTCAAAACACTGCACTGCACCAGCTACCAAGGAGGAGAAACATGACTGCTACTGCTGAACCCAGGACATTATCCACCCCTTATTCCATACCATTCACGTCATGCTCAGATCCCACATTTTCAATATACCATCACTCTTATCCCGGTGCACTCTTATCTTAGTGCATGGACCAGTCCCTATAAAGCTGCTGTGTCCATCTGGTCCATGTCAGGCTCCATCTCTTGTAACAGTCTTCCAGAGCAGGAGAGACTGTGTGCAGTGTTCACACTCGTGAATAACCTGGGCAATAGTGTCCATTGCTAAGTCCACCCCTCGATCATGAGTCTATCTCTGTGTTGCATCTCTGCTCTGATGGCCTGAAGTGCCATGGGCCCACCAGGCTTAAAATAATTCACTGTCCCATTAAGCAGTTTCTGCAGCTTGTTGCTGGGGACTCCATACAGCTGCCTTCCATCTCCGACGCTTCCAAAGCACTGGAGGGGCCCAGTGGACTAGATACTTGCCCATACTGTCCCACACACCCTGCCACTCATGACTCTCCAGCCTTGGGGAAAATCTCTTGGTCCCCCTATATTGTTGTCTAACCCCAGACAAGACCCAAACCTGACTCTGCTTAACTTTTGAGATCAGATAAAATGGTTGTGGGTAGAACACAGTCTGTGTGTGTGCCAACATGCTGATCCCCATCACAATCAGCAGGCAGGTCCCAGGGATACCCAAAGGCCATTCAAAACCTTCAGAACTCTCAAACGACGCTGCTGTGCTTGTCACTGGGGCTGGTGTAGCTGCTGTGCTTGCCGGCTCTCCCACCGCCAGCTTCTCTTTTCCTGAGTCCAGCTCTTCCTCCTCTGCCTTGCTGGGAAGTGCTGCGTGGTCTCCTGCATCCTCCTGGGGCTCGGCAGGCGGCTGCCGGGGGATGCTCTCGGCCGTCGCGGGGCTGGGCTCCTCCGCGGGGCTCGGCCCCTCCGCGGGGCTCGGCTCTTCCGCGGGGCTCGGCTCCTCCGCCGCCTTATCCCTCTGCTCGGCAGCCGCTTCCTTCCTCTCCTCGACCGCCCCGACCTCCTCCACCGGCAGCCGTCCCCTCGCGGCCTCCGGCCCCGCTCCCGCCGCCGCTTGGTCCCCGGGGCCGCTCTCCCGGGCCGCTTCAGCAGCCGCCGGCTCCCGGGGCCGCTCCCCCTCGGCTCCCCGCAGCCTCACGAAGATGGAGAGTAGGGTGAGGGCCAGGACGGTGAAGAGCAGCCGGACGGCCAGGTACAAGTCCACGGCCACGTCCGTCCCGCCCTGCTGCTGGAGCCCACCCGTATTACAAGCCATTGCCATAAAGCACAGTGAGACAAGAACCTTAGCCCAGGCCCCACACTTGATAAACACTATCACAGCAAATACCGGCTCTACGTAAGTTACAACATTCTGAAGCTGTGAGATCAAGAAGAACAACTCTGATACCCAATAAATCAGCATTGTGACAAATGACTATTAATCCAGTCAAATCTGTCGTTATCTCAACCCTTCGTGCCCCACGTTGGGCGCCAAAAAGAACTGTCGTGGTTTAAACCCAGTCAGGTAATTCGTTCGCTCACTTCCCCCCCTTTCTTGCCCTGCCCCTGCTCTCGGAGGGACGGAGAGGAGAATCAAAAGAATGCAACTCCCACGAGTTGAGATAAGAACAGTTTAGTAACTAAGGTATAACACAGATCACTACTGCTACCACCAATGATAATAATGATAAAGGAAATAACAAGGGAACAGAATACAACACCTCACCACCCGCTGACCGATAACTCGCCCCCCAAGCCCGACCAAGCTCCGACCGATACCTCCTCCAACCCTGCAGTCTCCCAGCCCTTCCGGCTAACTCCCAGTTACATCCTGGGCATGACGTGCTGTGGTATGGAATACCTCTTTGGTCAGTTTGGGTCAGGTGTCCTGTCTCTGCTTCCTCCCAGCTTCCCCTCCTCCCTGGCAGAGCATGAGGCTCACAAAGTCCTTGGCCAAACCAAAACATCTCTATCAGCTCTGTTCCCGAGCCGAAAGTCAAAACACTGCACTGCACCAGCTACCAAGGAGGAGAAACATGACTGCTACTGCTGAACCCAGGACAGGATGAAAAGGTAAATATTAAGATAACAAAAGATCCAAGTGGTCTGAGTTTTTTTTCTTTCTCCACCTGTGTTTCTCTGAGAAAATAATATGC